TTAGTAATGTTAAACCATCAAGAGGTTAACTGCACCAGAGGCTAACAAGCCATGTGACACATCGAAATGCTGGGAAGCATTTTCTCAGCTCAGAGTCACACAGTATTAACCTGGGATACTCATTCCTGGAAGTGTTCAAGGCCAGGTTGGGTGTGACTTGTAAAAACCTGGTCTATTGGGAGGTGCCCCTGCCTATGGCAGGGGTAGAACTGGGTGATTCTTAAGGTGCCTCCCTACACAAAACATTCTGGGATTCCATGACTCCTTGCCTCCCCAGGAAGCAGTGCTCTGGTTTGCTTTTCTCCAGCCACATTGCTGGCACACAGTGCTGAGCTAGCAGAGTTGCTTTGACAGTCCAGCTCTGACCAAAGCAGGGCCACATCATCCCTCCAGTAACTCCCCCTCTCCACACAGCTCCTGCCAGGGGCAGCAGCCTTAACCCGGCCTTTTGACAATCTCCTCTTTATCTGCTACTGACAACAAAGCTGTAATTGCAGCCCTCGGCAGAGCAGATAGAAGGAGCTCTCCAGGCACCATGAGGAATAAAGGGCATTGCATGATCCAAGACTTGTCCTGATATAACTGCAACTCTGCTCCAACAGTGGCACATGATAGAGAGTGATGCTCTTGGCCATCTAGGCCCTAATCCCAGCCCCCTCCTCAGTGCTGACCTTCCAAATCCACAGAAAACTCATATGACATCCTGTGTTCACACAGGATGCCTGCACATCCCATCAGTTCCAACAGACACAGGCACAGGGGTGGCCTGTGCTCCCATCTGTGGGATGAGGAGCGGGTGTGCTGCGGATGCAGAGCAGTCGCCACCTCCTGCAAGCCTCAGTGCCATCTCAGAATCAATACCCTGCCAACAATGATGGCAATAAGTTTAATTCTTGATGAATGGCAGACATAAAACTGAGCTATTGTGTTGCTGAAAGAAATTGAATTAAGGGTAAGCAGAAGGGACACATCGCTTGGCAGTGTGGTTGATAATGCTGCTTGCTTGGCCAGCTGCCACCAGCAGTGCTTTGATTCCTGACACATCTCCTGATGGCCCTGGCATGTCCCTGGGTGCCCAATACTTCCTAAAACCAGCCCACTCCCATTCCATGGTTCAGTTGTTGCTGTACAGGGAAGCAGGTCTCCACCTGCCTCAACATTCTCCTCATCCTCTTCCCAGCATCCCTCCCAGCATTACCTGAATTAGGGCACATCCTGGCACTGGGGACTTGGTGGCCCCTTCACCCCATCCCCTGGACATGCAGGCAAGAAAGTTTGGCCTTTGCAAAGTTTCTGGGTTTGGACACCCTTTTCCCTTGGGATGGACACTTACTTGTGTCTGATTATTTTTCCCAGCACATCTGCGACAGACTCCAGGTTTCCTCTGCATGCACAGGAAGACTTTCTTCATTAGTTGTTAGACTCCAACTCCCGAAGAGCAAATTAGGGGACATGAATATGCAAATTAATGCTTCTAAACTGATAGCAGCATTGCTGCCTCCAAGGGGATCAAAGCTGGGGTGACATTTGGCTTCCAGCTCTTCGCATTCGGGAGCGGGGTTTGACACTTTCTTTAATTGTTTTTTACACTGGAGAGAGCTAAAAATAAACCTTCCACAAAGTTGTTCTTCTGCTCTCTCTTGGCTTGGGCTGGGTTTTTTTAAATTGTTTTTGCCTCATGTTGCCCAAGCTGGCAGGGCTGAGACTTTTCCAGTCATGCAGGGGCCATCCCAGTGATGCTCTGCCCAGTCCCCATGTGGGACCACAGCAGTGTCACGAGCACAGTGGCCATGGCAAGATGGTATGGCACTAGGGACAGTCTGGGGACATGCTGGATGGCAGAAACTGCATGGAGTCACAGATGGCTGAATTCGGGGTGCAACTCCCCCAAAGAAGCCATTCTCCACTTTCACAGGAGCTTTCCAACAACACCTGAGCCCATCAGCTTTCCATCTCTGCAGCCAAGCATGAAGCCCCAGGAAGATGTCCCGTGGCCACCACCAGCACCCAAATGTTGCAGGCTGACAAAAGTACTGGTGCCTGAGGGTTTGAGAGGCAGAGAGGGCTCCACACCATCACATCCTGCATCCCCACAGAGCAACTCCATCCTGAGGCACTGCCCAGGTAACTTGTCAATAAGTATTTGGAATTAGGAGGAATAATAAGGAATTCTAACAAACTCCCTGCTAGAAGCAGCTGTTGCTCCATGTCCCACTGCCCTGGGCTGTAAATGCCCTTGGCTGGCTCTCTCCCTGCTCTCTGCCAGCTCAGCCTCTGCTTAGAAGTAATTAGGAGATAATTAACATTTGTAGCAAACAGCAGGAAACATCTGGGCCTGATAACGTACCAGGAGCCCTCGAGGGTGATTAATGGGGCTGGAGGAAGGAGAGTGGTGGGTGGCATGGCACAGAGTCATGCTGGTGGGGTTAGGACGGGATGGGATGGGATGGGATGGGGATGTCAGTGGGGGATGCTGATGTCTCCTTCCTTCCTCCTCTCAAGCAAAGGGGAAGCAGCACCATCCGATCAGGAAGTTTCTCAGGAGCCAATCACTTGGAAGCGACCTGGACTCAGAGGAAGAACAGAGGGCATTTGGTGGAGCTGTAATTTATTTTGTATGACTCCTACTTAATTAAGTACTTCATTTGCATAACTCTGTGCAGTAACTCAGTTCTGTCATCATGAAATTCAGCCATGTGCAAACAGTCTGCAAAAATAACACACATAATTCAAACTTATGTTTGTTGTAAGAATGGGTTACATGATGCAATTAAACAGGCCTTGACAGGCTGTTCAAAATCCCCTTTCCTTTCTCCTTCCTCTGCCTATCCCCTTTCCCTTCTCACTCCCTTTTCCTTCCCTTTTCCCCTCCCCCTTCTCTAAAGAGAGGAATAAACCTGTGCATTGATTTCTGGAGAAATATTTGGGATGTTGCTGGGCTTCGTTAGCTCCTCTCCAGCAATTCCCTTTCTGACCTCCCTGCTGCAGAGGTCTGCAGTGAAAAAGGAGCCTTGGGCTCACCTGAACCACTCACACATTATTTCCCTGTAAATCAGCAAAAGGCCAAGCCAAGGGGTCCTCAAGGCCTCCCGTAACCTTATTAAACCTTTCCCTCACTTGTGCCCTGGCCTCTCCGGCCTTTCACTAGCAGTGTGTCTGTTGGATATTGCAGAAGCCAAAAATACAGCTGTGCGCAGGCAGAGACATATTTTTAGGGCTATGCTGACCTTCCACATCTTGCTGCTGTCCTCCCCATGTGACACCAGGAGAAATATCCCCGGTGACACTCCGTGGCCGTGTGTGCCTGGCCCGTGAGTGAGCGGCCCCACGTGCACGGGCTCGGCAGCCGGTGCAGCCGGGAGGGCTTAGCGCCGTGGGATGCTCAGCAAACCCGGCTGACATTTCCCAGTGTGACATTAATAAAGGTGGGCTGGAGCAGGGCAGGGAGCTCCCGAGGCACTGGGGAGAAGCCAGAACATCCCTGAGGAGGAGGACTCTGAGGTCTGTCTGATCCTGCCCTGCTTGTTCCTTATTCACACCCGTGCCAAAGCGATGCTCAGCGCCGTGGCAGCAGCCCCTGGGCTCTCCCACCCACTGCCATGTGGGTGAGCAGCCCTGCTCCAGCCTGGCAGTTCTGGGGCACCCATGTCCACTGCAGTTTGAGCAGCGACTACCAAAAGGACACACGTGGGCCTGGCGTGGGGAACAGCATCCTCACAGGTAGAGACTTTTTGCCAGTCTTGGTAAGTTTCCAAGGTGTTTGTAAAGTTCTGATTTGTTACGCACGAACAGGTTGGATTAGCTGGTCCCTCTGCCAGCCAGAGCAGCTGCTGCAGCACTGCTGAGCCCAAAAGTTAGGAGGATTTCCAGGCAGCCAAATGCCAGATGCTGGTGGCCCCCAGGACAGTTTCCCTCAGATATACACCCCACAGAAAATTTGTTTGGCCATGATCCAAGAGACTCTGGGAAGCAGCAGAATGCATCCCCTCTGGTGAGCATCCCCTGGGATTCCCCAGAGCCACTGAGCTGAGGTCACTGCTGCCCCAAACCCCCCTGTGAGCAATATTAGCAAAGAGCAACAAACCTCCCATGCCCCCTTCGGCTGCCAGACTAACAGAGGCCAGGAACATGCACATGTGGTTCTGACAGAGAGAACCATTCCAAGTGTCTAAAAATACCTAGGAAGGTAAATGCATTAACCTTATCATGATCCCAGAGTGTAATTACATCCAGCCTGGCTCCCAGGTAAATTAGTACATTAATAATAATTTTGTTCCATAATTACTGTCATTCCTTAGATCTCGCAGCTATTTGCCCATTCACTCACGTGTGCAAGGGCATTCCCATCACCATTGCCACTGTTGGAGCAGCCTTGGCTGAACAGCCCCAGGCAGTGCTTGGGAAATCTGTGTGCAGACTACAGAAGTCAACACATAGTTTCCATAAAGGTGCTGCAAACAAACCATCCTGGTCCTCATCCAGCTGTAGAGGTGATTCCCACCAGAGGATAAGAGTTTCTGCTGGCCAAGCACCCTGGGGAGTCAGGTGGGATCTGCTCAAACATGGGAAGAAAACTTATACTGGAACCCATTCCTGGCATGCCTGGGATGCTCCACTGTGGAATGGGGCACTGGGAGAGGGTCACCAGCACACCAGGACTGCAGCCACCAGGCCTGCCAGCGGCTGCACATGGCAAAGCCAGCTGCAGAACTGCTGGATGCTCGGAGACTCCCAGGGCCCACAAGGGCTGTCCCCGGGAGGGTCCTCTCCATCAGCTCAAGAGGAAGAAGGAAGGGAGCATCCACTCGGATCTCCATGGAAACCAGGGAGAGGTGGGGAAGACTTTAATTTGAAGTGCTGATTTGGCAGAGGCCCTGGGAGCCATAGGCAGGAGATGAGCTGCATTAAAGAGCAGCAGGAGGGGACTGTGGCTCTGAAAATGGGTGCCAAAAGGGTATCTGATACCATTAGGCTTGAAAAGATGCTGTGAAAGGCAAGGAATCAAATGGGACCAGTGTAGCAGCAAATGATTTATTTAATTCATTTTGCCCCTCTTCTGTGCACAAATTATCCATAGAGACTTTGTTTTTCTTTCTTTTTTCTAAATTTACTTATTAATTTGCAGCAAGGGGGCAGATGGCTGATGCAGGCAGAGCTCAGAGCACCCTGCTGCCTGCCCCTTGTGTGAAGGCAAACCCTGACACCATCCCCACACCACGGGGACTGCAGCCACTGGCACCTCCTGCTTCCAGCTCCCTCCACACATACTTCAGACTTTGGAAATAAACAGAAGGCTGCAGCCTCCAAGGCTTTGCTTCCAGGACTTTTCATTTAGTGTAATTACTGAAGGATGTTTCCCCTGAGATAAGATCTGTGTGACATTTGCGCAGCCGAACCTCCTGCTCTCCCCCGCCAAACAGACTCACAGCCACAAACAACCGGGTCCTGCAGCAGGAGACAAAGCCGGCATCTCAGGGGAAGCCGTGGGACAACTCCAGCTTCCCAGGGATGAGTGCAGGGCTCAGCAAGCCATGGGAAAGCAGGATGAGAACCCAATACTAACCTGGGCTGGGAGGTGAGGAGCCGCTGTCAGTGCCCAGATTGCTGTGCCCCTGAAATCAAGTGCTAAGCATGAATTTGGGGTGCAGTCTGATGCTCATGCTGACAAGCCAAGTGATCTGCTCTTGCTCCCACAAACCCACTTTCACCACTCAGAAGAATCTGCTGCAGCATCAGCCTTGCAAGAGGGGCCTTCATTGCCTACAGCGCCCACACAGTTTATTTAAAAACCTTAATAGTATTTGGAAATTACAGGCAAATGCTCCATGCTGACCTTCACTAAGGTGGCTGAGGTTTCCCACCTCCGTACAGTAAATCAGTGGGTAAATGAACACAGAGACTCAATTCATCATCAAATGTCAAGCCTGAGACAGAAAGACGGGAAATGATTTAAAAGCAACTGGCAGTTTAGAACTGCTGCAAATTTCTCATTATGGAGCTGCAAATTGTGATGAAAAACTAATCTGTGTTTTAAGCTTTGGTCTGCCCAGAGCTGCCAAGGCCCCTCTCCTTCCACCCCTGCCTTCAGTTGGGGTGAGTCCCATCTGACACCCCCAAAAGCCTTTGAGCATCACCCCCTTGGATGCCCCACTCTCCATCAGACCCTGCAGGAGCTGAGCTCCATAGGGTGGATGTTGAGGTGTGTTTTGTGAGCATTATCCCCAGGTGAGCATTGTTCCCTGGGGTTTCTTCTCCCCCAGGCAAGCTCCTGCAATGTCACCATGGCAGCCATCACCCTCCTCCCCACAGGACCAACCAGGGAGTGAGGATGTGCTTTCAAAGTCCTTCACATCCCATCCATTGCAGCTGAACAGGAGCACAGCCACTGCAGCTCACAGGCTCCTCATCCCTCCTGCCAGACTCCTTTCTCCGGAGACGCTAATAAAATGCATTTCCTCTAGCCAGTGTCTCACTTAGGGAACCTTCGCCTGGGTGTGATTGAGTGCACTTAATATAGTCACTCTCACCACAGAAAGGATTCTGAGCCTCCTATTTGACAGCCTTGATCTTAAAGAAATCCATTAAGAGCAGCTTTATCTCTGGGTTTTGTAACCATTAAATCAGGTTTTATCAAGTCGGTGACGCGCTTTCAGAGAGACAAGTGGGAGAAACAGGGAATAAACCTCCCAAACTCCCATGCTGGGGCTGCTGGGCTAGATCTGGGTGACATGGAAATTACCAAGAAAGGGTTTGTCTCAGTGGAAAGCCCCCCAGGTTGATGCTGCCTCACCAGCAGGTCACAGGAGCCTTTGCTGGATGCTGCCACACTGCTTCCATGTGCCTCAATCAGCTTTCGGTTTGGCAGAGGCGCTAAATACTCATTTCAGCTAATAAAGATGACTGGTAATGTCATATTACAGGGCTGGCGAGCTCCCAGCAAATATTATGGTGAGGCTTTGTTTAATTAGAGGGTTCTCAGGCAATCGCAATTTCCTCCTCATAATGGGGAAAACAAGCTGGGTTTAAAAGTTTGGGCTGGCAACAAACCCTGCTGAGGTTCAGGCATCCTGAGGGCCAGTTTCCCAAGGGCCTTCAGCTGCTGCAGGAGCTTTGCCCCCAACTCCCATGTTGGTTTTTCTTTTTTTTACCTTATTTCCTCATTACTAGTAGCCATTTTTCAGTTGCCCCTCCCTAGCCCAGGTGCTGGGGCCAGGTCTCCCTGCCCTCCTTATTCCTCTGTTGCCGTTCCAGCAATGCTTTTGCCAAGGCAGTGACACTCCAGCCCCCTAAATGTCTCATCTGCATCTACTCCAAGAGGGACAACAGCCCCAAGAATTACTGAACCCATGGGAAGGGCTTTTCAATCCTTCCCCTCCCTGCACACCTCAGTGATGAGACGCAAACTGAGATTTTTAGGCCAAATTAATTCTGTCATTAGTGGAATCACTTCCTTCCTGACATGAATGCAAATGGGTAGAGCACACCAAGCAGCATGCCAGGCACGGGTGCTCAAGTTCATTGTCATTAGCAGGGATGACTTCATTAACAAGTGGGAACCCAGGAAGCTGTCCCTAGGCTTGTCCTGAGTTTGAGAGGCAGCAGCAGCAGCAACTCCAAGGGCCATGGCCATAATGCCAAGCAGCTGGGACACAAGGCATTTGCATTTCCTACAGGGAAAGTTTTATCAACTTTTTTAAATGAGAGTTTTGTAGATTTTTGGGCCACAGACATGTGCTGCAGGGGAGCAGGCAGCACCATTCAAGCACCAGCTGAGCTTGAGTCCCTGTGCTGGTGTCCCCTGAATGCTGGCACATCATTCACCACTCGAGCTGCCTGTGCTGCAGGTACAGCACCAGCTCATTCATAAGCCTCAAGAAATATCGTTCTGTGAAAATGTAATAAAAATTATTCAGCTAATCTACTTTAATAACCCAACTTCAGGGCCTCTCTGTGCTGCAGACAGTATAATAATTTCTAAAATATGAGCTGTCATTTCCCATCAGTGTGAGGGAGGCAGAGGAACTCGGCACCTGACTTTATCGGGGCCACTAATTCACCAGCCTCAGGCCTGTGGAGAGTGAAACAGCATTTCCAGAGCTAGTGGGCTGCCCTAAGCTCCCAGTCCCATTTATGGTCCCTGCCCTGACCCCTAGCATGGTCCAGGGGACAGGGGTGATGCAGGGGACCTCCAGGACTCATCTCCACAGGGCAGGGATGCTGAGGATTTCCACCTCCCCAGGAAGAAAATGCTGCCACACTCTGCAGGTTGTGTGCAGTAATTTTTATGGATCGAGGATGAGTAAAAAGTACCAAAAATCCTGTAAAACTGCCTTAGTGTGTACAAAACTCACTGTCAAATATAAAATACTTTAAAAATATTCTGCAGAATCAAATCTGCAAACTTTTTAAGTTAAAAAAAGATTCAAAGTGCCTAAAATATCATCACGCTTAACAAAAATACAGATCCTGCAGTCACAAAGTGCTGTAACAAACACATCTACTCGTCTCAGTTTGTGCGGATGGAGCCGCCTGGCACCACCGGCACTCAGGGCAATGCCTGGGAATGCTGGTGACAGAGACACCCCCAACCTGGCAAGGTGACAGCCAGGGGATGGAGGTCATGACCACCCTCAGACAGACACAGGCACCCCCGAGGTGGTGTTGATGAAGCTGCTGGACTGGCACAGGAACCTGCAGCTTCGCAGTGACAGGCAGGCAGCCTCACTGGTACAGGACCTTCACGCAGAAGGTCTCCTCGTTCTTGTCCTCGTGGTCATTGATGTGAATCAGGATCTCCTCCTCCCCCACTGTCTGGCTCGGGGCGAAGCGCAGGCCGATGGTGTACACCTCCCCTCCAGCCACCTGTGGGAGAGAGGGTTGGAGGAGGCAGCAGCACCTGCCCAGGCCCCTTCATGTGCCCACCTTCCCCCAGCCAGGGTGGCCCTCACGGCTGGCACCCACCCAGCATAACCTGGTCTGGCCGGATGAGGGGCCTGACAAGGAGGGAGTGCTGGCAGCAGGACATACCTCGAAGGAATCCTCCTTGAACTGCAGCAGGTCGGGGCGGTTGGTGCATAAGAAGTAGAGCCGGGGTGAGGGGTAGGGGTTGGTGTAGGTGATGCGCTTGTTGCAGCCTTTCCCACCTCCCACAGGCAGCGAGATCTCAAAGGCCTGTGGGGCAAGCAGGGGCCGTGGCAAGATGGCACAGATGGCAGGGTGGGCAGCAGCAACAACAGGCACTCCCCAAACCCACTACAGAGAATTGCCTCCCGCACACTGCCCTCCCCTCCCACAATTCACATCTGCTCTGCCAGCCAGCAGAAAGAACCCACCTTTGATCTTAAGCAGCAACAATTAATTACGAGTGTGAAGAACAAAGGGCTGGGACAGTAGCAGAGACTAGCCAGTTCCTTCTCATTCCCAGAATGAGCTGTGGTGCTCAGATAACTAGATGGACTTGATGACCCTGAACACCCTTTCCCAGCCCCAACTACTCTGATTCTCTTAACACCCCATAGCACAAGCAGCATGTGGCAGGACAATGGGGCATCAGTGTAAATGCCAATCTGAACCTTTCCCAGTACCAAGGGGTTCAGGAAAACATTTTTAGAAGGAACACATTAGCCAGGAAATCTAATTTTCTGTCTTTGAGGCAAGGCCTCTGCCAGCACAGCGCTAATCGAAAGCAGCATGCTGCAGCTCTAATTTCACAACTGGGAATACTTCCGAGCTGCCGCTCCTCAGCGTGGGGCTGCCTCCAAAACAGCCTAAAAGACATTTTACCAGGGGCTTCAGTGAGATTATTCAAGTACCCAAAGGGCTAAATGTGTGTTTATGGTGGCAAGCGCCAAAAAAAACACAGATGGAAAGAGAGGAAGAAGCAGGAGACAGCCCCGGGTTATTGGCTGAACTGAGACCACTGATCCGATGCCATCACCATGTTTCGCAGTGGTGAGAGCTGACATACCTTGGAGATGAGGGGCTGCCTGCAGGACAGGCAGAGCAGCCAGGAGGACACCAGCTGGTGGGACTCCACGTCCACCAAGTTGAGGTAGATGAACTTGCTGCCAGCCCGCCGTGGCCTCACACCGATATACAGGTCCTGAATGCCATTGGCGGGGAGAAGGAAGGCACCGCTTGGATCCATCTGTGGAACAACACCTGGAGCTACAGCCACCCACAACGGCTGATGACAGCCCTGAAAAGTCCAGCTTGGAGCATCAATTAGACCCAATTGCTCTTAAAAACCTGTACCCCTATTCCACCACTATTAAACCCCGTACTTCCCAGCCCCAGGGATACTCTGGGACTAATTCATGTCAGGAAGGACAAGAGCCACTTGGGAACACCCAGGGCCTCCCCAGCCCAGGGGTTCCCCACACAGGCTTTGCCTGGGGAGCCTCTGCCTTTCCTTTACAGGACAGCAGTGGAGTTTTTCTGCCTTTTATTATTCACATTTCCAATTACGGACGAACAAATTCTAAAGAAATTGTGAGTCTTCAGACAGTCTCATTAACGCAGATAATTTGCCCTCCGGGGTTTCGCGCCAATGATCCTACACATGACAGCTCTAATCAAAAGATAATTATCACAAACGCTTTATGGCTCTCAGTTGTTCACAGTTCCGCGTGGGTTGCCTTTTGCTTTCCAGAGGGGGTTTCTCTGGGCTGACCCAGGCCAGCCAGCCCCCAGCCCACCACGGGGGTTACCTCCAGCTCCTGGGGGTGGGAGGTGAAGGCCCGCACCCTCCGCGGGGCCGCGGTGCCACGCAGCAGCAGGGAGAGGCGGGTGAGCTGCCCGGCTGTGCAGGCCACGTCCAGGCGCTGCAGCGAGTGCAGGTAGAACTGCCAGATCTGGACAGGTGCTGCCAGCCAGGTGTCCCTGTGCATGGACAGACAGACAGGGCTTGCCACACAGCATGGGAATCAACATACCCACCCTTTTGGGGTCCTGCTACTTACATATAAATAGCAACAAAGAACTTTTTGATCTGCGGGCTTGGTCCTCCGGCTACTTTGAGGAAGATGTCCTGTGGCTCACCAGGCCCCTGCACAGACAACAGAACATTGTCCCAGCAGTTGACCAGCTAATGAGGAGCCCAGGGTGTCTTCCCATTAACGGGGGAACTACCACCAATGGCCTTATGAAAGCAGATGCTTTGGGTACCTCGTTAAACTACGTTATTAAGTTATTACACAGCTTGGCTGAGCTCTCCCAGTATTTTTAATTACAAAAGAGGATACAAATGACTATCGCATTCCAGGTCTGTATCTGTAATCAAATTTTGGCAAATTTTCTGCAAGTTTTCTAACAAGCCCTAATCCAATTACCATACTAACGCATTTCCACAACAGCAATTAGCAACTATCCCTCGTCACCATTTGCATGGACATGCCTAACCTTATTTTTCCCTTCCACCCCTTCCTGCTGTGGAGCCAGCCCAGGAGAGCCTCCTGCTTGGGGAGGGAGTGGGATGGTGCAGGGCTGGGCATGGAGCTGCCCCACTACCCCAGCATCCTTCAGCAGGGATGGGCTTTGCTGTGCACCCCAAGGACACACCATCCCACCGTGCGCTGCCAACAGCTGCGGATACCCCGAGCAGCAGAAAGGTCTATCCCAGCCCAACAAAAGGCTGCTTTTCCCCAGTGTCTGAATCATCTGGTACTTGCTCAAAAGAACAAGCAAGCACAGGCTGCTGCATGATGCGATAAGGGGCAACGCTCAGCCTCCCCCACCAAAACAATGCAGCTCCTTTTAACTGGGAATAAAAAGCAATTCCAGCTTCATCGCTGCCACTGTGTCACTGCCATGGGCTGGTACACAGGGATGCTCTGTGGTTGTACCCACATTGGCAGCTCTCTGTCAACCCAAACAATCTGCAGAAGGACATGAGGAACAACGATGCCAAAGTGTAACATACCAAGGATTTGGTTTCACAAATGATGTCAGGGTCACTGCATCGAACAAACATCTCAGGCTGCCCGCCTGGCACCCCCACTGGTGTGCCTGTGGACAAGGGACCGAGGAAAACACCTTCAGGAATCTGCTTCACCTCTGCCTGTGCCTCTCCCCTGCACCCCACACAGCTGCACACAGAACCCCTCATGCTAGACTACCAGCAAACCACAAGGGTGTGCAGGTGTAGGGAATTTGGATTGAAGTTAACAGAGAAAGATGGATGGAGAGCAAGCCAGGAGTCCAGGGCCATGAAGGGGTGAGGAAGCAGCAATGTGCTCTCTGGATGCTGCTGTGCCTCAGAAAGGCTCCATGAGTTATGGATGATGACTAAGTGAAGAGCCCAAGCCCTGCCAGGCACACCACGGACTCACCAGGGAGGGTGTACCAGGGAGGCAGACGAATGGTTTTCTTCAGGAAGGTGAGCTCTGGGTGGTAGAAGCGAAAGGTCTGGTCCACCACATGGGGCTGCGGCTCCACCTTCACCCGCAGGAGTGCAATGGGCTTCCCCCCGCTCACCTGGAAGGTGACCTGTCCCAGGGGCCAGCAGGAGAGGGATGGGGTTTTCCAGTGATTCTGCTCCTCCCACACAGCCCCTCAAGCAGCGTTTCACCTGGTTCCCTAACCTGGATGAGCTTTGTCTGTTTGGCCCCGCTTTTCCCAAGGGAGTGAGTGTCCCCACCGGCACCGGTGCCCAGCCCAGCCGGCCCCTGCAGGGTGAGAGTGAGTTCCCTAAGGGTACAGCATCGCTGCAGCTGCTGCTGCTTCCCATGGCTGTTCCTCTGCATTGGCAAACACAGCCGAGGGGAACACTTCGTACTGGGAACAGCTCAAAACAGGGGCCTGTGCCTACCTGTGCTGCAACCACAGCAGGGTCTGCAGAGAAGGTCTGGTATTTGAAGGGGATGTGGACAGTTTCACTGGGGCGCAGGTAGACCTGAGGCTTGAGGTCATCACGGAGATGGAACATATCCTCCTCCACTGGTGTAACACTCTTGGTCAGCTCCTTGAAGTGGCGCCACTCCCTCGGGTCCAGTATGACACTGGGGCAGTGAGCAGCAGAGGTGCTGGTGAGGACTGGGAGGGAGCTGGTACCACCCTGGCATCTCCCCACACACACAGGGGAGCCCCCACCTGAGCTCAGGGTCGTTGACCTCGATGGTCACAGTGTGCTGGACAGTGTACGGGTTCTTCAGGGCGAACTCAAAGAACTCAGCTGTCCCCAGCACAGCGTGGACAGTGCGGGTGGCTGTGATGGCCTGGCTGAGCATCTGGTAGATGCTCTCTCCCTTGATGTGATCCCGGTAGGCATCAATGACCTGCAGGTCCCAGGCACGCTGCTTTGGCCAGCCCTGCCGGGAGAGAAGGAACCATGAGCCCAGAGACACGCAGGAGTCTGGCCCCACATGAGGCCTCCTGCCACCAGCCCCCATGTGCAGCCACACCACCAACAGGTGCTGCAGCCAGTGGGTGGACATGGCCTCACTGAGGGTGACCAGGGGGGCCAGGCTCACTTCTGGCCGGCGACTGCGCAGTGCGGCCTGCAGCTCATTGTCCACATCCACCAGCCTGCGGGCCCACGCTGTCCTGCCTGTGGGGAGAGACCACCGTGGCACCAAGGACAGACACCCCACAAACTGCAGCCCCCAAGAGCCCTGCAATACTGCAGGGCTGGAAAGGGGAGCACCAGAGGGGGCAGCTGACCCACAGCTGGCACTGCAGCAACAGAGACCCTGCCCACCTCAACCCACAAGGGACAGGCCAGGCCCCAGCAGGACTCACCACCAGGAGTGTTCAGGGAGTTCCAGCCACCACCTGGGGTGGTGACAGTGCTGTCTGGTGCAGTGACAATGCGGGAGTGGAATGGCAGCTGTCCTGGGGTCCCCTCACACGGGTGACCTGCCACAAGTGGAGACATGAGTGAGTGGAAACCATCCATTTTCACTGTTAAAAAATCTACTGCAAATTTTTACATGCCTGCTGCTCTGTTCAGCTAATTTACACAAGCAGGAGGGAATATCTGGAAACCAGTGATGCCCATAAAGCCCCACATGCTCCCTGGAGCCTGTTCTGTCACAAAGTCACCTGTCCAGGAGTGAAGCAGCACCAAGAGCACACACCATCCTGAGCCACTCACCAGATCCTGCTTTCATTTCTGTGTTCTGCCTCCTCCAGCATGGCCTGCTGCATTTCCCCCCTCCCACAAAGGCTGTGCCAAGTGGAGCCACACAAGGCTCTAAACCCACCAGGTATCTTCCCAGCCTACACATCCCATCCCCATCCTTCAGGAAAGTATACCAAGCTTTGCCACCCTATTTCTAACAGTGTTTTGAAATTTCAAAAAAACAGAGGATGGGAAAAACACCAATCAAAGGGCAGCTGCTGTCCTGGAACAGTGGCTCCACTTCCTCCCTCCCTCTTCTTTGTCAGGGTGTGAGTTAAACCACTCCCTGGGTTGTGGATCTCAGATTCTCCTTCCCAGGAGCTTATCAGCCCTTTGCAGGCAAAGTATGGAAATGATGATTTAAGATATCTTATATGGAGCTAATCTCTCCTCTGAAGATAAGATTTTAAAACCTGGAGTCACTGTACATTTATAGGACACAGAATTAAATACATAAAATAAAAGCAACCAGCAGGTTCTGGGAAGGATGACGTCCCCGCCAGCCTGGGTCTCACTCAGGTACAGCCCCGCACATGCTGGGTGCCCCACCCGAGCCTTTGGGCCGCATGAGCAGTGGGTTCTCACCAACATTGGCCAGGCAGAGGTGGAGGCGGCCCCTCACAGCCACACGGACACCGAGGGGCCGCAGGGCGCCGTGCCGCAGAGCCTCCCGGCCCATCACCGTCCCGTCCGGCTCGTACTCAGTCGTGGCCACCTCCAACTCGTGGTAGGTCCTGACAGCCATCCGGCCCTGGCGCAGCAGGGGCTGGGGACAAGGCAAGGACAGACAAGGTGTGATGAGTTACTGGGGAGTCTGGCCCAGAGGGGTCAAGGGGTCTGAGTATGAATGACACTAGATGTCCTGGCTCTGCAGGGCTTAGTGCTAGAATACTGCCAGAGTTCCAGGGAAAGGCAAAGAAAGTTAATGCTTTGTCATCACTTCAGAGGAAAAGATAACAAATCCTGTGATTAGGGGCTTGTCACGCTGACACCAGACTCGGTTACACAGAGGGACTGACAGTTACTCCATTACTGAAGACACAAGGACAGTGCAATAGCATCTCAACACAGGACCGAAATGAGAGCTGCACTCTGCCCTAGCACTCCACACAGGCAGGGGGGCCTTCACCATTACCAGCCATGGGAAAAGGCCTTCTATCTAATCAATACCTCCAGTTTAATGGCAGCAGACCCAACATGAAGCAGGGAGTCCCCATCCCAGACGTCAATCTGGAGGCTGTGCTCGGCCAGGTACCGCAGGAACCAGCGCTGCTCCCCAGGCCGCAGGAAAGCCGGATCCACCATGTACTTCAGCTGCAAGCCTGGTGGTTCTGCAAGGCACCACACTGTCACAGATGTGGCACTTGTCTTAATGGGAAGCCTCAAGGTGCACCTCACACAACTGACATTCTGTGTTCTGCTTCAAACACTGGATGATTTGAATGTTTTTCATGACATGCAAATCAGCAGAGGTTTGCTATTAACAGATACCAGCCCACCCCTTGGGCCAGAGGCAAGCCCTCATCCACCCAACAGAAGAGGAGCAGCCATACATGGATGCTAAAACCAGAGCTTACTGGTTAGGGTCCCATCCTCGTTGACACGGAAAAGGAGCTGTGCCGGCACAGCCAGCCCAGTTGCCAGACCCCCGTCTGTGCTGACCAGCTGCAGCCGGGGCGTGGTGACCGGTGGGAAACGGTAGAACTGGAAGGTGAGGAAGACAGTCCTTGGCCACAGCCCCTCCACACTGCCCTGGGCATCCCTTGAGGAGACAGAGGGGTTTGGGTCACTTATAGCATGGCACTGCCACCCTGTCACGAGCTCCTCATGCATTTGGCACATGCCAAGAAGCAGAAGAACAAGAGAAGATTGGCAGCACCACAAGTATTTGGACTTTTCTGAAGACAGCGGCCATACGGTTTGCCTTAACTTTCCAAAAAGCTTTGTAATTCCAGCTGTCTCCTGCCATATGCTGTGATGGAGGCGCCCAGCAAAGGCAGCATGTTACCTTCCCACAGCACATTGCCAGCCATGGAAGAAACAGAAGCGGGGCCTTATGCAGCCAAAGCCACCCCTTGGGTGCCAACTTTGCCAACTCCATTTGCATTTCTGGAGAAACCCTGCATTAATGAGCTCTGACATCATATTGTAGCTCATGGATCCAATTTTAAAAAACCGGATTTTTACTTAAAAGTGTCCAGAAAGGACAAAAGTAGGTGCTAAAAGAGGAGACACCGCTGCAAAGATGTCTCTTGCCCAAGCAGGGCAGAGGGTTGGGGGAATTTGGAAAGGACTCTGTCCAGGAGGCCTTTGGGATCTGCCCACACAAGACCATGAACTGCTATCCCACCTGTCAAAAGCCAGGAACTGCAGGACAATTTCATTGCCTTGCAGAGGGTCAGCTTCCTCCAGCTGCAGGTTGAAACTGCCCAGCTCCACTGGCTCCGAGATTTCCACTGGCTCCTGGTTGCGGTCCAGGATGTCTGGAAAGCCGGCAGCGTGCAGGCGGGCCAGTGAAGCACGAGAGAGGGACACATGGAAACTGATGGAGAAATAGGGGTGAGCTCCACAAAAGGGGCCATGGGGACCCTGGCAGGCCAGGTGATGGGGCCACAGGAACCTGGGGAGGGGCAGCCGAGCATCACCTGCTTGCCTGCAGCCCCACAGCAGCCATGGGCAGCTGCAGAGGGGTGAAGGGCAGTGCCCGCAGCTGGTCGCTGGCACAAGGCTCTGTGTCCGGTGAGCCCAGGTTGGTCTCTAGGTGGGTGATGCCCCCATCCTGCTGCAGGGTCTGGCCTGTGCCCCGTGGTGAGGCCACGAGCTGGGACACCGACAGCTGGTGAGAGAGCAGCAAGCGTGAGCACCCACAGCCCCAAGGCAGCCTCCTGAGGCAGCCCTTGTGGCAAGCAGAGCCAGCAGCCCCCTCTGTGCTAAAGGAGCTCCACCACCACGTGCCCCAGGGGTCATTCCACCAAGAAGTGGTACAGCTTGCCCGCAAAAGGGTTTGCACCTCTGCTCCCATTTCCCCAGTGCTCGCTCCCTGGCAAGAGGATGAGCACATGCAGCAGGAAGATCAAACTGCTTAATGTGGCCTTATGAGGCATTTCATTTCATCAAAAATATTTGTGTGCATTGATTCCTGCATCAAGATATAAAACAGCATAAAGAGGGCTCTCAGTATTCACAGCTCTCCTTAAATCCTGGGAACTCTGCATGAACAAACCGTGTGTCACTGTCAGCGCATACCAGGGACAACAGCACCCAGCAAATCTGGGCTGTCAAAAATCAGAGCTGCCCTCACTCCTGGGGTGTGAAAAGAGCACAGGGAACCTCGCCCAGCACATCACCGGCAGGAACTGCCTGGAGGAGGTGGAGCTGAGGACACTTAGTGCCTCTTGGCTGCAGTAGACAGGAAAACAGGCAGGGGATGGGTCCAGAAGCACATCCTACATGTGGGCCATCCCCTGGGGAATGCTGCTGCCCACCACCCGCATCCACTGGTGCACGTGACACTTACCCCTGGTCCCCGTGGGGAGACTGGCACTCGCCGTGGGGTTGGCACTCCTGTGGAGAGGGACAGGAGAGATGCTGTAGAGGAGCCATCACCCTCAGGCCCCTTTACTGCAGCTGCACCCACTGCCACCAAACCTGCCCTGTCCTTCCACCAGCCCTTTTCAATTTTAGGGGCAAAGGCAGCACAGTGAAGCAGCTTACCACTACCCAAACATTTCTTTTGACTTATTTGCTAATAAGACTGCTGCTTCAGGGTTAACACAGCACATCTCCAGACCCATCCGTTATTTTGCCGTGAATCAGGCTAACTCTGCCACAAACAGCAGCTCCCCCATCCCCTGACAGCTCCGCGGTGCCCCACGGCCACACGGTGCTGCCTAAGTGGGATGCTTAATGAGACGTGAAAGTTTTAGGATACTTAAGGTTTTCATTGCTTCTCTGTTATATTTTGTCACTCCCTTCATCTGCTCGAGCATTTGTGCCCCGAAACGGTGGGAGCTTTATTGTGTTTATATTCGGCTGCTCTCTCGCGCCGGCACAGCTGAGCTCACTGTGCCGTGGAGCCGCGGGTCCTTCGCAGCAGAGCAGGGGCACAGATGTTCCATCTCTGCATCCATGTGATGCTGAGACCTTAATTTGCTTTCGCCCACCACATACATCCCAGCTATTCCATGCTGGCTGCTGTGTAAAGGAAACCACCCTGCCTCCCTCATGCCTAAAATACTGTTTGTTTCCTTCCAGTTAGGATGGCTTTGGCTGGTGTTAAGAAGAGGATGGACAGACACAGCAGCAGCACCAGCATTTGAGCTGACAGAAGAAGCTCTTGGCCTCCCTTGGGCCAGGCAGCAGCATGTTTCTCAACAGAACTCTACAAAAAGTTAACCCAATAGTCTCCTCAGGCCCTTGGGACACAGGCTGGAGGGGCACAGCTCTGGGACCACTGCTGCACTTGCAAGCTCTCCCTGGCGCCATCAGCCCCCTGAAGCTGGGAAATGCCAGGGAGTTTGTCCCTGAAAATCACCTTGATGGGGATAGCCCCTCACAAGGGACACAGCCCACAGTCCAGCACACTTGCCCAAGCCAGAGCACTCCAGACCACCACCAGGTTGGAAGCTCAGTGTCAGCACTTGCTTCCCTCTCCCCTCACCACACCACAACTCCCATCAGCATCCCAGCCACCTACAGCTGAAAGGCACCAGGGAAAACTTTTCAAGCAGCACCAGGAAGGTACCAGTCATGATGCAGCGTGTGTTGCCGGGAGATCAACCCCACATACCCTGACATCACCAGACCCCTTCATCTCCCCCTCAAGCTTTCCTCTCCAAAGCCCCTCCCAGGAGCAATCCTGGCTCCTCACCAGCAGAAACACAGGATTTGTCATAGCAAAGCCGTGGTGCCACTGCCATCTCGTGGAAGGCACCACCGCACTGGAGCCAGCAGGGAACAGCAACCCACCGTACTGGGCATTGCCTGGCCCGTGGGCTGGAACCAAGTGATCATCAGAGAGCTGGGGAGGTATCAGAGAGCTGTGGGACACACACTGAAACACTGCCTGGTGACCAAAGCATCACCCCAAGACACACCTGGGACCCCTGCAGGAGCAGCACTGCAAAGAAAGGGGAGTTTGCTTCCCACAAATCACAAAAATGGATGAAAGATAAACAAGCCAAAGAGGATTTTTAGGAGCACAGTGCATGGGCACAACCTCATGCCCAAACCCAAGCCCACAGCATTTTTCCTTCCACCTCCAATAGAGCAGAGGGGTGCTGGAACCCTAACCACACAGCCCCCAAAACTATAGACAGATGCACCTGTGCAGATGCACAGATGCTGCCTGCACCTCCTCAGTCAGACACCAGCACATCCTGCACACATCAACCCAACCTAGGCAAACCTAACCCAACCCCATCCATCAGTGGTGGCACAACCAGATTACTTTTCCCCAGCCTATGACTGATATCTCTCTTGTCTCATGTCTGGAGAGACTCTGAGTCCAGAGAGAGGAGCAGCAGTACCTGCAGTGAGCATGTGCTGCTGGTGTGGCCACTGCACTGGGTGACCTGGAATTGGAGCCGGCTGGGGCAGTGCTGCCAATCCCTGGGGATTTTGCACATGGCTCAGCAATACTATCACATGGGAATTTTGCAAGTTAAAAAGTAAGAGCTGAATTCAACTTGACAAAAACTTGCTTCACTCCAGTAATTCATAACTAGCTCACTGAAACTCACTGAAGTCTTGTTTTCTCTCCCGAGCAGACACCAGTGCCACACTCTATATTTTAAACGTCAGCGATCTGGAAAACACTCACTCAGCGATGGCGTAGGAGGCTGCTTCAACTCGTCCCTGTCTTTACATAGGAGCTCCGCAGCAGATACAAGATGTTCTTCCGAATCAGTGGAAACACGGAATTGGACAGTCCCAGACTCCACGTGCTTCCCCTGAAGTTGGCAACGAAAATGCTTTTAGACAGTGTGTTACACGCAGCCTCCCTCGTGCCTCCGACAGTGGCCCCCTCGCCCTGACGCCGGAGGCAAAGCTGCCAGGGGCCAGCACACCCTTACCTGCCGGGAGCTCGGTGGGGTCCGGTAGACCAAGGCTTGGCAGGGGCCACGGCGGGCACCACCACGCAGGGGCAGGACAACGTCCGTGTCACCGGTGCCCAGGGCAGGGCTCCAGACAGCCCAGCGCACCGAGCGCATGTCGGCCGCCTCGCTGCGGGCACTGCCAGACAGGGCCTGGGGGTGGGGGAGCTCAGTGAGCACCAGGCAGCCCCACCTCACTGCCAGGAGCCGGGAATGGGTGCTGCCAGACAGGCACTGGCTCTCATCCCCCTCCACACCTCCTCAACCTGGCTCTGGCATCACAGAAGCCACTGCTCTTCATCTTGTTCTGGAGACACTTCACTTCCCAGGACCTTATGCCTCTGTAACCCCTCCCTCAAGCAGCTGCACGAAGGAATACATGTTGGACCCCCATCCCTGGCAGAGGGGAAAGCTTTCCACTTACCCAGCACATCCACAGCCTCCCTCAAACTGAAGGAGAGGCACAGAAAAAAGAGAGGGCTCTGCCAGCACCCACCATCCCCCTCACAGCTAATTATGGCACGGAGGACAAGGACAAGGTGATCAGCTTTGCAAGCAGCTTTGGGATTAAGCACTCTGCCCCAGGGTTGCACCACAGGGACTGGCTCCACTGCTGCCCCAGACAGCTCCCCACAGAGCCAAACAGATCTGCCTCTAGAACCCCAAATCTCCATAGGACCTTGGGCTTCAGCTTTCCAACAGAGCTGGACCCAACAACAACTTCCAACAGCACAGCTCGGTGTCTCCCTTCTCAGTACAAATCCCTCTGGTCTGGCAATTGCATCTGCTTTATAAATGCCCATTTCCTCTACTTCGGCTCTGGACGGCTTAATAAGAGGCATTTGCTACAATTTCAACAAACATCTTAGCAGGACGATTAAAGCCTCCTAACAAATGCTTGGCCATCGACTCAGCCAGCAAGGAGCTGATGGCTCAACAGTACAAGGTCTCTGGAGGGGATACACAGTACTAATTGAGCTGGGTTTAACCTGCAGAAAGGTTAAACTAAGATGTGAGTAAATTATCAGTAAGTAGCTGAGAGTATATTGACTGCAGAGACCACCCCCAGAGATTTCTCCTGCCTTTACAGTTTGAGAACATCAGCCTGAAGCACCCAGAAAACCTCAGCATTCAGGACAAAAATAAACAAAAAAAAGGAGTGGGATGGGTTAACCTCTTTTCAGCATAAATGCCAAATTCTGAAGAAAAGCCTTTTTGATATTACAAAAAAAGCTGAAATTCTCCAGATTAGCTTGCCAGAACACTGTAGGAATGCTGCAGGCTACATTCCTGCATCTACATATAAACAGTGGAGAAATACAACCACATGTAATTAAAATAATTCACCAAGCCATGCAGGTTGTTTTGTGCAGTGCAGTGGAAGGCACCCGCACACTTTGTAGGGCCCTGCTTTACACAGCACAGCCACAGCTCCACAACAAGGAGCTACAGCAACCTGGAGGAGCAGGATGGTGAAACAGGGCAGAGGAAGGAGTTTCTCAGCAAGGCTCACTCCTCCAGAATGGATCCCTGCTCTTTCACAGGCACAGAGACAAGGCGCACACACTCTCAGCCCTACCTTCCCACCAGCTCTCCCTGTGCTGCAGAAGACATATTCCAGCTGGAAGCAGACCCCGAATGCCGGGTGAGGGACCATTTCACTCAGCTGGATGCGGCTCCTCAGCACCAGGGCTTGACCTGCATCCCTGTGCGGGATAGAGAAGTGGCTGTGGGAAGCATCCAAGGCAGGAGGGAAGCAGCACCGGCAGCAGAGGGGCTCTCCCTTACCTGGCTCCAGAGCTGGGCACCCTCTGGCAGCCACTCGGTGACAGTTCTGCCCCTGGCACCAGCACAGCGACCTGCGGTGCCTGGACGAAGCGCAGGCCATTGTGGACGCCAACGTGCAGCCGCCGCTCCCGAACCACCAGCTCTTCACCGTCCGACCCAGTGTTAGCCTGTGACAGGAATGTTTTCCACCTTGGGCAGCCCTCCCTGCGCTGACTACAGCCAGAAGAATTCAGGCAAACCCTTCAGAAACTCAAAAAGCAGGACCTATTCCCCCAGCAGATGAGAGGTACAAAAGTCTTTTGTCTTTATGGCAGAGTTGGTGCAAATCTGGCAAGAAAGGACCTGGCCAGTGGCTGCCACTTCAAAGAGATGGACTCAATACTCACTGCATCTCATCTCAGCATTTCCCATAGCAAAGCAAATCCAAATTCCGTATGTCTGGATATTCAAAACAAAGCCCACACAGAGCACACACATACTAATCCGAGAAGGAAACAAGCTAAAGGCTTCCACAGCAAAAAAAAAATGCTGGAGACTCCAAGAGAAACAAATGTATGAGTATCACTTACACTATTCACCCCACCCATAATTCCAGACACTAGAATTACTGTTGTACACTGTGCCTCCCCCTGCCTCAACCACATTGGCAGTACCTAGAATGACGGAATCACAGAATGGTTGGGGTTGGAAAGGACCTTAAGCATTATCTTGTTCCACCCCCTACCATGGCACACCTTCTACCAGAGCAGGCTGCTCCAAGCCCTGTCCAACCTGGCCTTG